TACGTGTACAACACTCCCTCGAAGTTTCAATCGAAAGTAATTCCATGAGACATTTTAAAATGTTCAGCTTCGCTAAGAATTCTGTTGTTCACCTCATGCGAGGGACGATAGACATTCAAGCCAGAAAATACGTTGTTCTTTGCAAGCCCGTTCAAGTGGAGATCGTCGACATCGGCTGTTGAGTCCGATCGTTGTCGATTGAAGAAAACTCACTGTTCCGTGTAGACGGAGAAGCTCCAACGCTTCAACAAACAGCTTTATTGATGATCGGTCAAAACCTCGTTCAACACCTTTTCAGGAAGGCATTGTGTTTTCAACTCTTCAAGTGCCCAGCTAGCTCCACGTCTAGCATTTAAAAGCGGCTCGCTTTGGCGTTGCATTACAGTCCTTACAGTTAGTCGTGCTTTTATTTTATAAAACCCTACCTATTACGTTACCTTCCTCATCATATCATCCTTTCCTCATGTGAAGCTCTCATATTACCATTTTATTGCTTGTAAACAGGCACCATCGGCTGCTTTCATAGTCCGCCGACTGGCCGGCACGCCGGCGGACTATGAAAGCAGCCATTCCTTCCTGGACGTCAAAGAATGTAGTCCCGAATTCACTTGGTTCCAAGTTTAGCGAACATAACAATTCCGCATTACTTTAACACAGAAGTAGGCAAGCAAAGTATTCTTTCTCTCTCGATCAAACGACATCCATATCTTCACCCAAAATAACTACGCTGGTATTGACACAGCATTGTTTTGTTGCTATTGTGTCAGTCTGTTTTCGCTATCAGAAGAATGACCTGTGTTAGGTACATCGTCCAACTCAATTTTGTAGGGAAACAATACAAAAAATGCGTCTGTCAATTATGTAACTCATTCCAGGTGTACCTCTTAGAACTGGTTCGATTGAGTATTTCTCAGAATGCAACATTCAGATCCTACCCTCCTTCCATTTCCTATCGCTGTCGTGCACAGCAGCTCTTCGTTTGATATGGTCTTGATTCTCAAGAAATTCGTCGAAGGCTGTGCTGACCCTAACCGTCTCTCTTTCTAGACCCGGACATACGAATGCTTGGCCAAGTGCCACCTCCTTAGATTTCGTAGAAGACTTGAATGAGTTTTCTCATTTTTTAGCATTGATCAATTCCTCTACTGGAGAAGACCACCTTTCAGGTTCGTAGTGGCGTTCTAGAGCATACTTTGCCTATGCAGATTTGTAGGGCCTCCTTTGAACAGGTCAATGCTTTTGTCTCCTTGTGATTAGAAAACCCTTAGGAATACCAGGTTGGCATTGGTGTGTAACAATACGCGCACTTGAACTCACCTCTTTTTTTTCGCTGCTCAACTCCGTTTTGGAGCCGAACCTTTTCTCATTCTCGAATAACTGTGTATGTAAACGAAGTAGCGAGGTAACCTACATAACTATTAAATGCGTTGATTCACTCTACCTCGTAGGAACTTTCTAAGGGAAACCTCAAAACACGAACGCAGAGAACAACTTATCGAGATCGATCGACCAAACAGAAGAATGCAATTCACTAGGTAAGTTAGATTAATAGGAATTTAGTACAATATTAATCGGTAAGTGTTTGGTGTGCGTAGTCTCTAGTGCGGCATTTTTGGCCAACGATTGACAGTTATGTAAGGCAAGCAGTAAATTTTGAATTGCCCAGGTGTTTTGAGAATGTTTGTAATTTAAAGGCATAGTTCACGATAGATTTGAGGTAACCCTTTTTATTCGAAAATCGGAAGTATAGGTTGAGGATAGTTCAGTGGTAGAGAAAAAGCGAGAAAATTCTCCGATTTTAAGAGAATAAGGCTCCTCAAAAATGGGGAAAATAGAGGTTGGACTAGATTACCATGACAAAAATAACATGGAAGGGGTGTCCGGACGAGATGTTCTTGCAATTATGCAAAGACCTGATTAAATCGTGGCAGAACTGTAGAGAACTGCCTTTCACTGCCGCTATGGGTCATGACAAGTTGCTTTTACTTCCTACAAGGGTTTCTTTTTGATCTGTGCAGCCTCTACAATGCCGGTGAAACTCGTACGACGATGCACACGTGACAATCTTTGAGCCCTCATAACGCCCTAACTAGGTTGTTTTCCAACATGATAGCGCCAGACATGGTATAAGAGGTGGCCTCAAATCCATCCTATGGGAACATCCCAGAAACCATTTTTATCGTGAACTGTGCTTTTAATCTGTACTCACAGTAAAATCAGTTCCCTTAGATTTTTCCAACATAAGTATTTTAAGACGCACTCACGATGGGAGTTGGTGGAAGAAGAAACAATTATTTCTGCTGCAGATGTTAAGCTTCGATGTAAGTTCAATCCCTTTATTGAGTTTTAATAGTAAACGCTACCGTGACACGGGAAAAGGCAAAAGATTGATGCCTTCTACTGTAGGGTCTCCTCAACTTTTAGAGTGAGACAGTTTCCGGGAAATGTTGGAGGTGATACGAAGGCCGATTCGATCGAGCCAGAAAAGTGTCTAGAAAGGGATGCAAAAGGCTTCATACCAGAGGGGCGTACACAGAGCAGCTCATAAAAAAGTTATTCGAAATTTTCTAATCGTCAGTACCTTTAATGCCTTGTGACCTATGTAGCGCTCACGATTTAAATCCTTCTGTGGCTAAGCACGCTTTTTTCGAAGTAACATTAGTCAGGACAACAATTACTGTGACTTAAAAAACCAAAGAGATTCCTTCAGGTACTACTAACACTCAACCATTTCTCTCTTGTTATTGATGCTCAAGTATTGTGTCGTCGTAATGAGCGTTACGCGGAATGCGGCAGATGCGAAGCAACATGCACCAATCCCAACATGGTATTATTACTCTCATCATATTGAATTTACTTATAGGGAGATTTCGACAATTCCCCAGAAATTTGTAATCATATTTTCAGGGATGTCGACGGGGATGTCTGCCATCGAGGTGCGAATGCGTTGCAGCACTGAACTATGTCCGAGACCGACATGGTGCTTGTATCAAAATCACCGATTGCCATGTCCCAACTATGCTAATCACTTTTGAGTCGGGGAGGGGATTCCGAAAAATATTCGGGAAATTATACAACGTGGAGGACGATAGTGGTGCCAATTCTAAAGCAAAAATGAAGGATTCGTGGAATGAGGCAAATCAGCATTCCCATGATGTGGCAGATGTTCACAGTTACCCTCCTGAACACCCTCAAAAAGTGGCTATTCGTTACTATTCTCCTAGATATTCAGAAGAAGAAACAGGCATTCATAGCTATCCACCGGAACTTCGATTTCGTGACAGTCCCACCGACGTGTACGCTTATCGAGATCCTTCTCATAGAGCAGGAATTCATAGTTATCCACCCACAACGTCCTCGGAAAAAACGGAGGACATCCACGAGTATCCTCCTGACGATGTGGAACAAACGGACTATGATTATCTTCCTCTGCCTTTTGTTAACGACTACGGTAATATAGCCTCACACATGTCAGGAACATTCTACCACCACCAAGCCACGAAAGGCAACAGAATTAGGGCGAGGGAGAGAGAAAGATACGACAAGTACGATCCTTTCAGTCCCCGTCGTTTTGAAAAAGCCAAAATGCGGTCAAAATTGAAAGAATCAAGCATCTTAAAACAAGTTCCTCCCGAAGTTAGGATGAGCTTGCGGAACATAGGAGGAACAAGTTCTCTTCGAGAACTCGCAAATGCGAAGGTTTTGTTTGATTTCGATCAAAGCGAGGGTGAACTAGAGCGGCGGAAAGACGTTGAGGCTTCACCTAACCCAGGGCACCCAAGCCCAAGCACGAGAATGACTGGACTTCTGTCAGGTACCACGCCTGTCAGGAGCACCAATATTGAGAATCCAAAAGAAAAGGAACCAATTATCAAAGGTGTACCTTCTAAAGCATCATGGCAGCATAACTCCTTTGCACATTCTCTGCCAGCTGAGACTGCTACCGCGTTACCATGGACGAATACAATTGGTGAAATGGCTGTAGCAACTCGTGGAACAATTGTGGAGACTCCAACGGAGCGGAACGACTTCACACGGTCCTTTTCAGCGCAAACCACTACCACGGAGCCCAGGACAGTCCAAACTACTGCTACAATGTCATGGAGCCCTAATACCAGCGAATTGGCGTCAACGGCCCAAGGAACAACTCAGAGCGTTCCTTGTCGGTGTAATACCGTTGTCCAATCCGTGTCAGCACGAACTACTCCCTCGGTACCCATGCCGACACAATCTACTATCACGGAACCTAGTCGCGCTACTATTAGTGTAACGGCGACAACGTCACATGGTACCCCTCCGGTAACTCCATATCATCATAATCCCGTTACCCAA